TTGCCACCTTCCCACAGCTTAGTTTCACAGAGCACTGCTGGGTCTGTGCTGTCCTGTCCCTGTCCCTGTCCCTGCTGCACAGGTAGGAGCTCACCCCAGGAACCCCCTGGGCCCTGCATCCTCCACTGTTCCCAGTTCCTAATGCCACAGGGTGGTGGAATCTGTCTTGGGGGACCCCCCAGCTGCACAGAGCAGCCACATCATGTCCCTTCCTTTGCATCACTTCTGGCGACCAGGAGGATGGGTCATGGCACACACAGGGCAGCACAACCTGCTCCCTGCCACCTATAACCTTCACTGCTGCCCAGTGTCTTTGGGACTGGGAGCAGGACCAGGACCACAGTCAACTCCTGGCCCCAAGTCCAGGGCTGAGCCCTGGCACAAGACAGCAGCCTCTGGGGTGAGGAAGGGCCAGGGAAGAGTGCACTGTGCAGGGCCAGCAGAACGCACGGAGATGCAACAGATCCCCACTCGATCCAGCAGGTCTCACAGGAGGCTGTGCAGCTCCCTGAGACGATGCTCAGCACCAGACAGGACCATGCCAGGACCAGTACCACAAGATGCCACCCTCCTACCACCCCTGTCCCCAGTGCGCACAGCCCTGAGCAGTGGCCCCATCCCTGCAGGTTGCCCCCCGTGTCCGTCCCAAGTGGCACCAGGACGCAGCACAGCCTGTCTGGCAGTGAGCACGATAAAACCACATCCCGACCCTAGTGGGGCCCAAGGCAAAAGCCACGACACTCTTCCATGGCACCGGGGGCTGTGACAGGGACAGAGGGAACGCGGCAGTGCCACTGCTTGCAGCCACACGTGGGGGTTGGACCGCCCAGCCTGTGATGGAGGAACGTCCCGGCTGGATAAAGTCGTAAATCAGACAAGCTGGGGCTCTGCAGCCCCCCAGTAGGGTGAGCCAGCCGGACACAGCGAGGGGCACAGCGAGGGGCACAGCTCGTCAGGCCCACCAGGGCTGGACACTGGCCCCAGAATCACCGGTGAGCAAACACGACAAGGGAAGCAGATCACGAGACATCAAAGCAGGGGGGCGATGAATATTTCATGTCCTGGCCTACATACAGCCCGGCTGTCCCCGCCCTGCGCTCCCGGGGGTCCCCCACAGCCCCTGAGCACAACAAAGGGGAGTTGCAGGCAGGCGGGGCCGCCTCGCCGGACCCCCCGCGTCCCCAGCTCTGCCCCGCCAGGCAGTGACATCCCCAGCCAGACCCACGGCTGACCCACCAGACCATGTGCATCCCGCTGGACCCACAGCCGCCTCACGGACACCCCGAGCCAGACCGCGAGCATCCTTGCGGGGACCCGCCACCAGCTCTCCGGGCTGCGGGCACCTCCCACTGCCAGACCCACGGCTGCCCCACCGCAGCCTGGGCATCCCCGGCTTGACCCACCGCCTCCTCGCCAAACTGGCGGCATCCCCGGTCGGACCCACAACAAGCTCGCGCGTACCGCGGGCATCCCCCCCGCACTCCTCCGCGGGCATCCCACTGCGGGCATCCCCCCCGGTCCCCACTGCGGGCATCCCCCGCCGGACCCCACGGCCGGACCCCGGGCACTCCCCGCCAGATCCACTGCCGGACCCCGGCGCTCCCCCCGCCGGACCGCGGGACCCCCCGCTCGCCCCACACCGGGGCTCCCCTCGCCGCCCTCTCCCCGCCGCCGCTCACCTCCCGCCCGTCCGCTCCGCGGGGCCGCCCCCGCCGCTCGCCTCCAGCGCTCGGCCCCGGCTTTGTCTCCGCGCCGGGGGCGCGGCCGCCGCCCCCCGCCGCCGCCGCGCTGGGTGCCCGCACCGCCCCGCACCGGGCCGGGCTCGGGGCTCGGGGCTCAGGGCTGCGCCGCCGGCAGCAGCATCGCGCAGCGCCGCGGCCCCGGCGCGCTGGTGCCTCGCCCGCCCCCGCTCACCCCTTCTGCGGGGCGGGGGGGAGAACCGCGGGGAGGGGAAAATAAAAAAAAAAAAAAAAAAAAGAGTAATATGGCAGCAAACCGGAAACGGTGGATGGGGGAAAAAGGCAGCAGCCCCTCCCCTCCCCTCCGTGTTTTTTTTTTTTTTTTTTAAGGGAGAAGGCTCCGGGCAGCCGGGCTCCGCGGGGCGCGCACGGGCCAAGGGGCCGCCCCCGCCGCCGGCTCTGCCGGCGCGTCCCGGCCCGCGGCGGGGGAACCGCCTGGTCGCGCCGGGGACACGCGTGGGAGCGGCGGCCGCGGTCCCCTGGGCGCCTCACCTCGCGGGTCAGGGGCTGGGGGGGCTCCCAGCCCAGCCCAGCCCTGCTCGCCCAGCCGGGCTGTCTCGGTGTGTTACCTGGAAGCCGGAGCTGGTAACAGAAAAGTGGTTTTCGAGAGGCTGAAACCCGGCTGAGTTGGGGTTCGCTTTATTAAACAGTTCTAACACACGGCGAGTAGAGGGGAAATGCTGTTTTGTGAGTTTCTGTACCTCCGCATCCCCGGGAGGGACACCTCGCCTTTCCCAGGGGGCTGCAACCCACGTTCCCCCTTCTCTGAAGTCAGAAGGAGGCAAAACTTCAGTGCTGAGGAAAAGCAGACAAAGATAAACCACGTCCTGGGCCTCCCTGGGAACTCGGGGAACTGTGGGGCTCTTCGGACGCAGCGTGGGCACACAGTGCTGTGTGGGTACATGCCCCGTTTTTGGGTTAACACGCCTCCCCCGGTCTCCCCTACAGCCCGTGCCGCCCTCCAAATCAAGGCAGCGCGGAGCTGTGGGTGTTCCCGGGGCACCCGGTCCCGGCTGGCAGCATCACCCTGTGCAGGGCTGGGAGAGGTGCCTGTCCCGAGTGCTGCTTGGGCAGGTGGGCTCACGGGGACACTTCCTGCCGTCTCTCCCCTTGTTCCTCAGCATCCTCCCCTTCCAGCACTAGGAGGAGGTGGGAAGTGCCCGGCTTTCCGCAGGCAGGGAGCAGTGCCGGGGTGCACACGTGGGCTCGGGGCTCAGCCGGGTGTCCCGACGCCCGCACCCAGCCCGTCGGGGCTGCCCGACCAGCTCGGCGGCGCTGGCAGCCCTCCCACCTCCCCCACCGGCGATCGACTAAGGAGTTCCCTGTCACGTTATCCTCCAGGAAGAAATGGGGTGAAGCAGCCCGCTCCTTAAACCCCCATTTTGCTGGTTTATGTGGCACGCTCGGCTGCTGGCCAGCTCCAGTGACCCGGGGGCTGTATTTCCACAGCCAGCACCCTCCTCTGCCATCCCTGCCCACCCCTCCGACCAACCTTGCAGCCACTCCGCGGAGTTTTCCGAAACCCCCGTTACTCTGAGCAAGATCTGACACTTCAGAAACAATTTGGGAAGTTAACAAGCCTTGGAGAACCGTGTGGTGGAGTTTTTCTTTCTGTTTCCCACTCCCTCCCACCCCCCCTGCCTCTTCCTTTTGAGTTATTAAAAAAATATTTCCCATGACACTGGCGAAGGCCAGCGAATCCATGAGTCACCAGGAACAGGGAGTCATGCACGCGCCGATCCATCACCCGTGGCCAGCACATCGCGAGGGGCCCTTCCCTGGGAGGAGCCGCCGCCGATAAGGTCCCTACAGCCGGGCAGGGCCGACGCTTTCCCTCTCGGCTCCCTCCCAGGGCCAGGCAAGGGCGGCCGGGTTCCCCGCACACCCCTGGGATGTGTGGCTGGGGAGGGGCCAGCCCCGCTTGCTCCTTGCTGGAGCATCCAAATGCAGCCCAGTTTGTACCGAGGCTTTTTGGGGCTCAGCCCACCCCCTCTTATCCGTGTGGCGTGGGGTTCCTCAACCTCATGTCCGATGTGGGATGGAGGAACGAACCGGGCGGTGCGGAGCAGTCCCTGCTCTGCTCACCCACACGGACACAGCACAGGAAAAGAGGGGGTTCGCCGATGCCTGGGGAACCCCACACCTTCTCCCTGCGGTGCTGCACAGGGACACAGGGACACTCCCTTCCCTCCCTATCCCAGGATGCCCGGGGCACTGCCAGCGGGGAGAGCACTCCAGGGGAGCAGGGACCTGGCCCCAGCCCCGGGGTGAGCTGGTGAGGATGACTCAGCCTCTACTGGATCCAGACCCAAATCTAAGATGCAATTATGACTTATAAATATTTGTATTTTGTTTTTCTCTTTTGCAATCAACTCCTTTTCTCCAGGCTGTCCTGCAGTCGGAGTTTCCATCTCCAGCCGTGCTGGCCCCTGGCTGGAAGGCAAACACCCCCAGCACCTTCCAACACGCCAGACCAAGTCCACGACAGAATCCCTTCTTCTTCTAAGAAGATGCCAATGTGCAAATCTAAAATTACAAACAGACACTCTCTAAACCCAGACTCTTATCTTTTGGGCTCAGATTCAGGAATGTGCCCTCACAGGACTGACATTAAACATGCAGTGCTGGTGATAATGCAATTTAGGACCATTTAAGCAACTCAACACACCTCAACCCACCCCTGGCTCAGCCATGAGGTCCTGAGCCTGATGGACACCCTCCAGCCTGCCTCACTCCAAGTGTTTGTCATTAAACAGTCTAATTCACAATGTTTTTGAAACCCAACCAGGGATTTCAGTCTTTTTTCTGAAACTTATTTTCTTGATATGATCCTTCACTTTCAAATAGCACCAATAAAACCTACCCTGGGGAGAGGAAGGGGGTTACAGAAGCTGAAAACCAGGTGTTTTCAACTTGGAAAAAAGTAGCACTGAGTATTTCCGGTGGCTTGGTTATTACAGGACGTTTTGAAATTATATTTTAATAAGAAGTGAAGACATTCTCAGGTATTTCTGTGTTTTCTTGCTGACCTTTATGCAAGTTTCATCAGGAACAAGAAGAATGAGAGTTACTGTGGGCAGACTCTGTCATGCTCATGAGTAAGCACGTACACGGCTCCTTCCCCCTCCAGGTGTGCAGATCCAACTGCTCCATGTGGCTCCTGAAATCCTCCTGCAAGGTAAGAGGCTGCTTGTTGGGTCCAGTATTTGATCTGAGCCCCGACCTCTCCAAAGTAACTGTGGATTTACAACAAAACATCTATTCATCTCCAGCCAGATTTATTTTTAAGCATCCCCTTGGCACGCGTGAATAAGTTTTGTCTGTTGGATTCTGTTCCTGAGGCTGCACTTTGTTCACTGCAAATTCCAAATATAGCTGCAGGAATTATTACTATTAGTAATATAATGGTCGTGTTTGAGATGCTGGGCAGACAGAGAGGCAACCAGGGCTCTTGCCCTGAGATTTTACGATCGTTGAGCTTTACAGCCCTGTAAATAGTGAGTGTGTGATGGGAGATGATCAGCACCACCAGCCCCGTTGGGGAAGCTGCAGTTACAAGCTCAGGAGCTGATTCACTAAGGGGGATTGACCATAATAACCCCTGTAGTACGAGCCATTTGGCAATATTTCGCAGTAGGAATGTTAATTCTGGCCATTCTCTCTCACACTGAGCATCAGAGCTACAGGAGCTGAGCAGTGATGGCCAGTGTATTACCGGTTGTAGGATAAAAAGGGGTGGCTGAGAAGTCAGCAGGAGGACTCAGGACCTCAGTGTCCCTCAGTGTGGTGACAATCTGCACAAGGTGCAAAAGGGGCCCTTAAACCCAGCCAGGAAGTGTCACTGCAGAATTTCCCGGGGGAAAGGACTGTGGGGAAACCACTGACTCGGTGACATGCAAATATTTAATAAGGAGGCTCAGAGTTCAACAGCTGTGGGCTGAAATTATCTGCATGTTCAATAAAGGCAGAACATTTCCTGTCAGGTTTCTGACTGATAAAATATGTTTCTATACAATCTGAACTAGGTATCTTGGAATAGCTCATTTGGGCAAAAATCTGACACTTTCTGTTTCTTGCCTCAGCAGAAAAGCCACACACGATGTTAGCATCTCCCAGCATGGAAATTCTGCTTTTTGGACAGTCTTAGTATCAAAACAGCAGTTCAGAAAAGCCCGTGGAAACTCATCTAGATGAGATTTACAGCCCAGGTTCCAACTTGATTTGGTAGCAGAGCAGTGGAGGGGTGGCTGGCTAGTGCAGAGCTCTGGTAGCCACGTCCAGGCGACCCTGCCCCGGGGCTGTGATGTTCCCTCCCTGCCAGCACCCGCTGCTCCCTGGCTCACCCACAGCCTGAGCAAGCAGAGCTGGAGCAGACACGAGGGTGTTTCCCCTTAATCATCCAGTCTCGGTCCTTTGAGCAAGGGATGGGCTGAGGAGGCCAAAGTCTGAAAACCCTATGACGCTGGGATCCGTGCTCGGTTTAAAGAGAGTTGAATGGGGGGAGACAGGGAGTGGAAATGTTTGCAGCTTCTCCTCTTCTCTCAAAAACTGCTCCTCCTGGGATTTCCTTCACCACAGAGGCCTGACACTGGGGGACATCTGCTTCAGCCACCAAAGGAGCCACTGCAGCATCACGAGTAGCTTCTCCATGGGTACCACAGCCACGAGGACCCTCTCAAACCCCCGAAGCTGCGGTCCAGCCCTTCGGCTACAGGATGGGCACTGCGGCACACGGCGACAGGCAGGAGCTGCCCTCGGGGAGCTGGAAGGATGTGACCCACAAGCCCCATGACAACACCACAGCTTCTGCCTGGGCTGCCAGAGTGGAGGCACAAAAAACAGCAGGAAGTGTCTGGAGCTGGTTCCCAGAGCGGTGGGAGCAGCTTTGCCTGTGAGAGCTCGCCGGTGCCTGTCGTACTCTGGACTTTGGCTCTTGACAAGGTGAATTTGTAAGCCTGGGATGGCTTTTGCAGAAGGAGCAGCCAAAGGGAAGGCAGCAGGAACAAGCCTTGGAGCCTGGGACACCTGGTTTGTAGCTTGGGCAAGATATGAGATGTCTCAGGTCAGTGCTGATGCCTTCCATGGCCCCAGTCCATGAACTGGGACTGGCTGAACTTGATGCTTACGGAGGTGCAGCTCAGAGGCTGAGACAGCCTCTGGCAAGGAACACAGGGATGTCCAGAGTGCAGGTTCCACAAAAAAGGAATGCTGTGTAAGTAGGACTTCCAGTAGAGCACAGTGCTAGGGACAGAGCTCCTTGCCTGGAGCTGGAGACAGGAAGAAGTGAGAGCCCTTCAACCCCTCCACCCACAGCATCGCCCATTTGGGAGCCGAGATCTTCACATGCACCAAGTGACATCAGCCAGGCAACAGGTCTTTTTAAAAAGCAGAGCAATGTGGCCCAAAGCAGGTTTACCTTGTACCCACCAGCCAGAAAGACTGGACTGAAGCCTTGGAGGAACCTATGTCAGCCCCTTTGCTCCAACCACCCGCTCCACGTCGCTGTGATCCTTGGCAGGACTGCAGTGTCCCAGGGCACGGCTGCTCACGCCTCCTCCAAGCAGGGTGCAAGGGGCATCAAAGCCACACTGGGGCTTCTGGGCACTAAATGAAACCAGGGAAGCTGGGAGGAGGGAAGTGAGCATTGCCAGAGGTTTGGGATTGCACAAGACAAATGTGTGCGTGCTGGCGAGGAGCAGGATGTGAGCGGTGGTGTGCAGCACGCACAGCACCACACCACTCACCCATCACGAGCTCGGGAGCGTGGTCCTGATGGGTTTGGCTCCTTGTGGCTCAGGGGCAGGCAGATGTCCATGGCACAGCTCCCTGGCAGGGAACTGTCCTGCCCCAGCAGTTACCTCTGCTGGCCGAAAGGTTACAAGGGGACACCTTTCTCCATCCTGGATGCTCCTCCACTTGTTCCTTCTTTCTATCAGTCCAGGTAATAGCAGGTTATACCCACTGTCACTGGCAGGTAAAATCTGGCTACAAGGACAGAATAACTGCAGTGGACGGACATGAGTCTACAGGGTGGAAGAACACGAGGGGTCATGAGAGTGACTTACGGTGACAGAAAAGTCAAATTGGGAAGAATCAACATGAAACGGGAAAATCAGCTGAATTTCAAGGGAGAAGCAGGAAGCCAAGTTCATTGCCCCACAGTTGCCAGCCCCAAGCAAGAGACATTTTGAGCAGCTACTGCATGCTGACCCAGGCACCAAAAGCCAGAAAACACCCCCAACAAACCATTGCTCAAAAGCCACAAACTACCAGAGAAGAAGAGCTGGACCTTGGACCTGCAGTGAGCACCAGCTGGAGAAGGAATGCAAACACTGATTACAGCCCATGTCTGCAGCCAGAGAGAAAGGGAACGCTCCCCAAACAAATCATCCCTTCTGGTTGCATGAGGAAGAGAAGGAGGGTCAGATCCCTTCCCAGTGTCAAAGCCAGCAATCAAGTTAATCATCGAACATGCAACTGTGCTCAGTACTCCAGCACTCTCCATTCATCATCCCATTTTCTCACTGCAGTCAATCTCTCATGCCTCATGAGATTAATAAACAAACAACTAAATCAATACAGTCATCTCAATCCCTGCAGGCCACAGGCTCTGAACAACATAACTTCTGCCTGAAAGAAGTATCAGTGTGGAGGAGATGCTCCCAAGAGAATTCCAGCACCCCAGCTCTCAGCTGTCCAAAAATGAACACATGCACACTGGGGAATGGTTCAGCAGTGCCCTGGGAAACAGAGATATTGAGCAGGTCCTCCCCTCCTATGGCTTCCTTATCATCTGCTCAAGCATCATCAGATTGCTCGACTCTCCCTAAATCCAGGCACTGAAGGAGCATTTTCATTCTTCATGACAGGCTGGGAAATAATCTGAGCTTATTGACTCAACAAGGGGGCTGCTCTGCAAACATCAATCCTCTGATGGGGCTGATGGCCTCGGGCTCCTCAGTCCTGTGGGCAGGGAACCTCACCAGAATCTCTCCGGAGCAGAGAGAAGCATGTGTATGAGAATGAAAGTAAATTAGGTCTGAACAAGATTAACAGGGATTTAATTGAACTATGTGAACTGGAACTCCAGTCACGAGCTGCTTATTAGCCCGTCTCAAGGGATTGTGCTGCTGGCACTGGAGGAGCACAAGGATGCATTGTGAGCGCGGGACAGCGCCAGGGGCACGATGGCCCTCGAGGGGAGCGTGGTCAGAGAGGCTGAGCTGCCCCACCGTGACCAAAAACGAAGCCAGGAACTCTCAACTCTCAGCCATGTTTCTTCAGAGCTGAGGTTTGGCCTGCTGAGGGACAGGAACTCTGTGACACACACTGGCAGGGGAAGGCCAGCTCCTGGCTCTGGGTGGCAGAGCAAGGTGTGGCTCTCTGCTGGCAGGTATCTGGAGACAGACCTTTGAAAACCTCCCCTGCAATAAAATTGACTTAATGAGGTCTTCAGCTCCCTTTGGGATGTTAATTACAAAACAGCCTGGAGAAAAGTGCTTGGGAATTAAAGTAGTCACCACACTAGTCCTTCTCTCTGTTTTGGTTTTCTGGTGAGAGAACCAACAGATGTTCACCAGAGCTTGGCCACCCCACTGGTCTCACTGCAGCCAAGAGCCACCAGACAGCTCCACGCTCCAGCCATGGAAACCTGAGCTCCAGCCACACACCGATGGGCTCCCGAAAATCCCTATTAACAGCCTGCTGAATCCCCACCTAATCCCCTGCTTGCACTATTAACAAATGATGCCTTTATTATGGCTACCTTCATGGGGGCTCTCGGAGCCAAAATCTCTCATGAGAGGCAAACTGATGTAGTCCCTGCACCGTTTCCTCCTCCCTGCCAGGAAGGTGGAGCTGTACTGGGAGATAGTTTGCTACTTCCAAGACAAACACAGATACAGATGCACACATGCCTGACAGTATTAACTAACCAATTTCTCACAGATTAAAGGATCTGAAAGGATTTCCCTTAATGGATCATTTTAATGAATAGGTTATTTATGTCCCTGTGTTCCTATAGTCTGGGACTTCTGGCAGCTTTCACAGTGAAATGTGAGGGAAGCACAACTTTAAAAACAGATTTCTTTTTAAACAGAGATTCTGATTACATTTATTACACATTTCAAGAGAAACTAAGATACATGGGATATCGGTAATCTCTACATACTCTAAGTTCAGTAAACAAGCACATTCAAATAGGTATAAAGCTGTTAGGAACAGACTGGGGATTTTATTTTAATCCCTCTTCCCTCCAACAAAACCAAACCCCAACATCCATGATTTCTACTGAGCAATGAGTGAGCCAGCCTGCAGATAGCTGGATGTAGACATTGATGTAGTAGCTGCTATTTCAGGTAACAGCCACACAGTCCCCACTGCTAACTGGTCCTGAGCTGTGGAAGTGCTTCAGTATTTTGGATAAGGTGTGTGCTGCTCTTTCAATGACTCTATTAAAGCATTAACCCTCTGCTTTAGGTAACCTGCAGAAAGCTGGAGTTTAGATGAAACCGTCCTCATGTATTAAAATGCAAGGAAGGATCTGCAGTACCTACCCAGGGCAGTAGCAATGATTTTCTTCCTCCAGCAGATCAGAGATAGAGCACAGGTCTGTCATGGAAACTCACAGCAAACATTGTTCTTTGTTATTTGCGTGGGAAATTTTTGTAATATTTCTTTGTACTGAGAACTCAAAGCAACTTTAGAGTGCTTGTGTCTCCTATGCTTTGTTCTGTCCTCTCGGTATTGCCTTCATGTAGCTCAAGAAAAAAAATGCAGAATTTAAAGGAGAACTCTGAGCTGGATTTTAAGCAGTGCAACTTGGTGTCAGCATTCTGGTCAAGAGCCTGGAGCAGGGAAGCAATGAGAGGTCAGAATCACACAGTACTGGGATCTATCTGTCCCTCCCACCAAAAGCAAGAGCGAGCAGAGAATGTGGCTGTTCTCAACACTGATGGTTTCTGTAAGTGGGTTGTTCAGCTCCTGTTCAAGAACACACATCTGGGCTCACAGGGCATTTGTGGCTCGAGGATGGGAGTCTGGGTATGCAAAAAGGATTGCAGACTTGCAGCCCTGCCAGAGAGAACCCTTCCTTCAAAGCCGCTCTGAACCCTGGGTGCGCCTCAGAGAGCAGGTTCTCCTCCCATTGACTCATTCCTGATCAAACAAACCAATATGTGAGCTGGCATCAGGAAGCTCGAGCTGCCCCACGGAGACTCCGTGGCTACGTCACCCCCTATCTCCTTCCACTCCTTCCAGTCCTGTCTCGCCGTATTCAAATCTCAGACCAGATTGTCCCTGGGCCTGGAGAGGCAGAGCCCGAAGGAACAGAGTGTCTGTGTCTCTTGCCATACAGCCATGCTGCACAGCCAGCCTGCCACCCCTTGGATCTTAAAATACCACACCTCCCCAGGCTGAGAACATATTTACCCTCAGGAAGAATTCAGCCAGAGGAGATGGAGCAGACTGGAGCAGGGAAGGCTGGGAGGGAGTTTGCAAATGCAAGGAACCCCAGCTGTGTTGAAACAGGGCCCATGGTCAGGGCTCAGCCAGCTGGCAGGAGGGTTTATCCACAGCACAGCGAGGCAGTGCAGGCTGATGCACCATCAGTGCAGCATTCCCAGACTCCCACCTCAGCAGCTCTTCTCCAAAATGCAGTACCTGGTCTTCCCAAGTTTCCAAGAACAACCCCACTAGCACAGGCGTTAAATTCTGCACCTTCCAGAATCACATTGTTCCCCAATTCTTGTAGCCATCACAATCCCCACCACAGCCTCAATTCCCTGAAATGTACCTGCTTTCAAAGGTGGGAATAGAGAGGAAGAGTGCATGGGTGGGGAGTAAGACAGAGGTAGCGACGCTGGGGAAATGAAAGCTTTCATCTCTAGTAGTCTGGAATCCAGTGAGTTATTACCTAAAGAATTAAAGAATATGACAAAGACATTATGATTAAGCCATAAAATGCAGCTATGTATTTCAGACTAGATGACAACAGAGATGAATACAAAACTGTGTAGTGTGGTATCCTTGATCCATTTGATCCCTCTGGCTTCAAAAAACACAACACAAACTGGTATCCAAAGCAGCAAACCCATGCTCCACCTTCCACAGGAACTTGGTTACAAATCCCAGCCAGCATCGAGGGGCCTCTCTACCCATGAGAACTGACAGAAGTCACTTTAATGGTGACTGACACATTAATCATGTCAAATGAAGTACTGGATATGTGAAGTTCTCTTTGCTTGCAAGAAACCTATGGCAGAATCCCTCCCCTTCCATTCTTGTAAGTTCCTTCTCCCTTGTCCCTGAAAGGTAAAACATGGCAATGCCACAAAACCATTTAACAGAGTTAGTTAGTTGCCTTTGATGTTGTCTCTGAGGAAGCATGATTACAAGTGATTATTTGGTCTTTCGAGGCTCATCAGTCATGCCTTTATCGTTTCTTTTTGGTTTCCTTCTTGGGTTTCTTGCTTATCTGTGGAGCAGTTGCCTTTGGCTTCTTCACTGTCTCTGAATTCTTAGGCTCAAAACTGTCCGAGTCCTACAAAAATCAATTAAGAAACAGTCAGTAACTTTTTTTTACCTTTGCTGACAGCTTGCTTTGGGGATATGAGTATCAGCCAGAGGAAACAAGTGCTGGGTATCTCTGTTGGAACACTTTGATATCAAACTGAGGCCACGTTTAATGAGCCTCAAGCAGCACCATCTCTGCTCCTTCTGCACGTGCTTTTTGATGAGTGTGAGTTTATGCACAGAAAAAGCTTGTTACCAGAGATGCCATTAAAAGCTTAAGTGTCTAAAACAGGCTTTGGAGAAGAAAAACAAACCTAACTTTGAAGACAAGAAAAAATCAACACTAAGTGAAAACTATTTGAATTAGGAAAAGATAATGTATAATCATCAGGGTGCATGGAAACATTCAGCAGGTATTTCTGCCAAATATTAATCATTATCATGTGCAAGACAAAAAAATATTCCCTGAAACAGCAGTACAAACAGAAAGTTCAGAGCCTTTAAACCAAGCCTAAAATCCAGGGAGGGAATTGCAGGCAAATCTTTCTTCACCTGGACTAACAAAATGCTTAGATATGTTGCTTGTTTCCTTCAGGGAAGATGAGAGATAATATTGCAGCCATGGGAAATAAAGTCTAGTTATCTTGTGAAAACACGAGGGAACAGCGCCAGTCTCCTCTGAGAAAGCACACACATGCAGATTGCCTCCTTTCATTAAATGCATTTGAGTATAAATATTGCTTTAGCATCTTGGTTTCTCTCAGCCTGAGTGTGCCAACTGGAAAAGGACACAAAAAATGGCTGAGCAAGACGTGCTGGTTTCAAGCTTCCAAGCCAGTGCTGCAGATAATGGAGGGGGAGGCAGCATCTGACAGTATCCTTTTAATCAAAGAGCTTGGTTCAAACGTCTCTCAGGTTCCTGGGCTATTACAGTTCACATCTGTGTGGCTTTCCAAGGAAGGAGGCTTGGCTGGCTTTCCAAAGGCTGTGATGGGCGCACAGGGAGCCGGCAGGCTCGGAGAGATGGAGCAACACGCGGGTATTACTCAGGGATGCAGCGTGCTGCTGCCATAAACTGAACACTGCTGCCTTCTAATGTCCAAACCAGGGGAGACTTCAAAGTCTGAGGCCTCCAAGACAGAGAAGCTCTTCAGTATCCTACCCACACTCAAGCATCATTCCCAGGACCTGGAGGGGTAGCCTCTGGTGTTTATGGCCTTGTGAACCAGTCATATGGACAGCAGATCAGGAGGAGAGTACACACATGGAGAAAATAAAAAGTAGAATATGCAAACATCAAGGCATGCTTGCAAAAGTAAGCAGTAAAAGCTTACTTGAGCTTTACTGTTTTAACTGGGAGTTTCCCACTCCAAACCAAAGCTCTCGCTCTTTTCAGCTTTCAAAAATGGGGTTAATTGGTATTTCTCAAACATTTATTGGGGAAACCAGAGACTCTGACAGACAGACACTGGTGGCTGCAGGGTAACAGTGCAAAGGTTGGACTCAATAATTTTGGAGGTCTTTTCCAATCTGAATGATTCTAAGACTCGCAATGCCACTGCATTGTGTGTAGCAAGCACCACTTCATCTCCCTGCCAGGAGCTGCAGCTCCTGCAGCAGGAGCAGGAGGAGGGAGCATGACCCATGCCAGGACAGTGTCACATCACACCTGCAGCCAAAGGTGAAGAAGTTGGGTCATGAACCACATCTTTCACACTGTACCTCACCCTGGGGCATTCCCTTGCCCAGACAGGCTGTAAATTTCCATGCTTCCTCTGCACAGGAGGGAGCAAATGTGGCAATAAAGATAAGCTGAAAACACAACTCCCCATGCTGAGTTGTTACTGAAAATGCATCATACACCTTTAGACAAAATCTGTACCAAAGCAACAAACTTGCAGCCTGACCAGCACTGAAACACCTGTGCCCAGCACTCAGCATTGCCAAGCACACAGAGGTCTTTCATCAGAAAAGCAGGATGCAGGACATCCCTCAGTCCAGAGGAACCAGAGTCCTGCAGCTCACCTCAACCTTTCACTTCCACCTCCTGCTGTGCCAGCTGCATCAAAGGACCCTCCAGCACTGCACAGGGTGTCAGGACTGAAAACTGCCCCCCTCACATCAGGATATACTACAAACTTCATCTGCATCTTGTTTCCAAAAATCACACACAAACTAGCACCCAGAGCCACTTCCTGAAAAGCAGACCCTGCCTGGCAATTAATGAAGCAAATCAGCAGCAGGATGACAATATGGGGTTGGGACAAAGCCTTCTCATGCAGCCAGGAACAGCACGTACATTTAACACCTTGCCAGTGCTTCAGGTTGTTTTTTCCAGTGGTATTCAGAGAGACCCTTGCTTAGGTGTTTGTTCCTGGCTTTCCTATCTGGCGGTAAATCAAAAGACAAAAGCTGGAGGTGGGAAGGCTTGAGGGAAGGAAAGAGAGTGAACAATGAAACTGTTACCACCAATCCCAGGGGCAGACTGCTGTGCCTCCATCAGCTACTCGACATTCCCCCCCATCCTGTTTTCTCTGACTCTGCCCATCTATATCAATATTAAAGAGCACTGCTTACTGTCTTGTGGGCCTTGGACACCGGCAGGATTATGGCCAGCACACAGATCAGCTGGAAAATGGCTCCAAAGAAGAGTCCGTAGCGAAGCACATTCTCCATGAATGTGGGCTCAGGGATTTCAGGAGGGGAGAAATCCAACTCTGCAGCCATTGTGAGTGCACCCTTCTCCTCTACCGCTCTCAAGAAGACTGGGTACTGCACAGGGGAAAAAACAGAGCAATTATTTGCATCAGGCTTTCTGCTACTCACTTTCCATTACCCCAAAATGACAGACTCTCCCATGCAGGTGTTTTGAAGATACTCTCGATCTACAGAAGCAATAGCAAAGAGGAAAATGAAAGCTGCATTTAATTTGGATGTTTGTCTTTTATCACCTGACTACTAAAATAGTCCTCAAATGCTGGTATTAGTCTGTTTGCAGGTGAGGGGCCGACAAACGAAATATTAACAATATTTATTAAGCAATAAGCTTAATAAGCAAAAACATACTTCTCCCTGAAGTCAATCATGCATGCAAGGTGATTATTAATAGTTTTCACTTACACTGTCTATGTGATCACAGCCTTGTTTTAGATGCTGTACAAACCCAACTACTTAAATAAACCACAGAAGTAGAGCTGATGAAGACAGAGGAATGAGTTATGTGTACAAATTTAAGTGTGGCTTTAGTGGCTGGTTACACAAAGCCCCACGTACCTCGCAACAGTCACACAGGTAGTTTGTGGCAGAGTTAAATATTGATCTCCTGGGTCCCAAGTTTCTCAGCCTCAAGACCATCCTTTCTTTCTCCCTTTATCTTTTGCTAATGGAGTTGTCAATTCATTCTATGAATGACTAATGGCTTTCTACAAAAAGGAGAGCTCTCCTGCCAGAACTGCTGGAGTATGCCACAGGAAGTCCCCAAAGGGAAATCCAATTAGTCTGGGATGCCATCACACTCAGCTGTGATTACTGCCCTCCTCTGTTCTCCTGACCTGTATGATCCCAGTGTGCACTCGCTGAGTCAGCACTGCTTACTGATACACTACAATTCTCTGTATCACTAAAGCTTGGCTGAGAGATATGCTGCACACATGCTTCAGTTGAATCTGCCTCCTAGAAATTATGTCCAAAACAGGCCCTGCATTTCTCAGGCTGGGAGGAGGTTGCTATGATCTGCAGATGTGACACGGTCGAGAAAGAGACTCAATTTAAGAGTATAATCAGAGTAAAGTTACAGTTGATAAATTTGAGACAATCAACAACTCAGTGCCATTGCATAAGAGGCAAATATCACTTGACACACTAAAAGGAGTGGTACAGAAATTACAAGAAATAATTATTTTGTTTTAATTCATTTGAAGTACGGAATCAAGACAGGAAAACATTCCCAACTGCACAGACTGGCAGCCACTGGAATAGAAAGACTGTGGAATCCCTGCTCCTGGCGATTCAGAAGAGCAGCTCAGATAAGCACTGGCCTGGGATGGGGTGTGGGTACATATAATCCTGCACTTCAAGCAGGAAATAAGAATAGGTGAACTCTCACGATCCCTTCCAGGTCTGTACTTTGGTGAACAAAAATGTTTCAAATTCTGACTAAAACTCAGTCAGCAAGGGCCGTGTGGGACCTGTACATGAAGGCAGAACACACGCTGCCCTCGCAGGCTCAGCCAGTCCCAACCAGACCCAAAGGCTGCACAGCAGCGTGAACAAACACTTCAGGACATGTGGCTCATCCCCAACTGCTTTTACCTTTAAGACCCTCCCTCTCCCCAATCTGCAAGGCAGCAGCTCCTAAGCAAGAAACAGAATCACTGGAAGCTTCACCCCTGAGCTGCCTTTATCTCATCCTCACTTATCGGGATATCTTTTGTAAACATAATTCCTGCCCATCCCCGTCCTCAAACACAGCAGGAAGGGATGTTGCTTCATTCCTCACCTGGAGTTTTCTCAGGACAAACGCCTACTGATAATCCTGACTCACACACCTGGAACACCACACACAGAGATAAACCAGAAAAGGAAATCAATACAGTGAAAACAAACATTCTCCATCCTCATCTTCCTCCTTTCCCCTTTCCTACCTCACCTCCCTTGAGGGAATTAGTAATTCTCTGACAAACCCCAGGTGACATGACCAGCATCAAGGGCTCTCACGCAGGCTGGTAGCAGCTGCCACCCCCATTATAAGCAGTACCCCATGAATGAAATACTCTCAAAGACCTGACCTCATGTTCCATCTGGTCACAGCAGAGCTGTGCAGGCACCCCACACTCGGACCATTCCTTCTCCTGCCATCAGTGGAGCTGAACTAACATTACCAAAACTCCTTCCTGTTTTAAAGAACTCCTGTGGTTCACGCAGTGCCCAAAGCTGCACACGCAGGGAGTTTGAACTCCCCAAATGGGCAGGCCAGAGCTGATCTCTGGGTGCTGGGGCTCAGCACCAGGCACGTGCCTTCTGCACCCAACACAGAACCTGCAAAGGGAGTTCCCTTACCCAGAGCATCACTTCCTGACACTCTGCCTTGCACCTAAGCCAACAGGTCCCTAGATGACTGAGTCTTCCTCCCTGTTCCCGAGAAACTCAGTTTTAACACCTCTTCCCTGGCTAACATCTCTTCTTCTCCACAGGTTATTAACCGCCTTTTTCCTCAGACCACTTCACCACAGCTGCACTTACTAATTCTTCTTAAATTGCATTTAAAGATCAATACTCCCATTTTAAACCCTGAGAGGAGGCTTTCCCCAACCCCTCCAACTTATTTATTTGGTCTAACACCCACTGAGTAAGCTGGAGAAGTGGGAAAATATCTCCTCTCCCCATAAGCCTGCCCATCTCACTGGAACATAACATCAGAAATTGGTCACAAACAGTTGCAACTGCACTACAGGAATTTATATTGACTACATGTTTAAAAACATCCAGTCTTGCTCCTACTCCATTAGGGTTTTACAGCAAGCCAGCTGCCCCCACGCAGCAGGACTTGGCCCTGTAGCAAAGCCAGAGCTGGGCCACAGACCCAGGCAGGGGCTCCTCGGGGCTGCAGCTCCTGCTTTTGTCAGTGGCAGCACTGAAGGGGATGTGGCTGTTCCCCATGGAGCAGGATCAGGCCCTGTGATGAACATCCGTGTGTTTCCAGGATCAGGGCCGTGCAGCAGCCACCTCAGTACAGCCAGACACAAACCTTTCTTCTTGCTGTGTCTCCCAGCTGGCACCTTCAAGACCTGCTACTACACAAATAATTAGTGATGGCCAAAGCCATAGGAACAGCTCAAGTAATATGTATTAGCTTTCTCTTGGGGTGGAAATAAAGAGTAACGTCCCTGCAGAACACAAAATCTTCTGTCAGAGGGTGAGGCAAAAAAGCTCAGGTTGGATATTCTTAAATGGCTTAGCAGGTGTTGGGATGGAGCCCGAGCAATTCCTACGGGGATCTGCGTGTGCTCCACAGCGCTGACAGCGCGGCCTAGGAGGATATCCCAGGACAAGCAGGCGATCCCAGGATAACCAGGATGTCCAACCTGTGGGATAACGGGCCGGGGCTGTCCGGCCGTGCCCGGGGGCTGCGGGAGAAGCAGCTGTGCAGCCCCGGAGCGGGGACACCCTGCGCTGCTGCTCCCGCTCCTCCTCCTCCCCCCTGCCCAGGGACCAGCTCCCCTCGGGGCCGCCCGGCCGGACCAGCGAGGCCCCGGGGGTGTCCCCCCGCCTGCCGGGGCCGGGGCGATGCCGGAGCTCCGCCGCCCCCTCCCCGCAGCGCCGGGACCCGCGGCCGCCCCTCCGGCCCCGCTCACCGCCCGCTCCGCTCGCCCGGCCCGCGCCGCCCCGGAACTGCTCCCGCCCGCTGGAAGTGCTTCCCGCCCCGTCCCTGGCAACCATCCCTAGCAACCGTCCCTAGCAACCATCCCTGGCGACCGCCCCCGCAGCCGCCCCCGGGGCGGCCCGAGCGGGACCGGGCCCGCGGGGTCCGAAGAGCCCCGAGCCCGTCCCGGCTGCGGGAGCCGCGGGCCCGGCCCGTCACAGGGCCAGCCCGGCTGGAAAAGCCCTCTGGGATCGCTGAGTCCAGCCCATGACCCAGCACCACCTTGTCAACCAGACCATGGCACCGATGCCACATCCAGTCTTTCCTAAAACACCTCCAGGGACGGTGACTCCACCGCCTCCCTGGGCAGCCCATTCCAATGTGTGATCACCCTTTCGTGAAGAAATTCTTCCTGGGGTCCAATCCAAATCTCCCCTGGTGCCTTTACACCACGGGGTTAATGTACTCACCCCCTAAATCCGTGTGAGTGTTTTAATCCCACCATCAATAACGTGGCCTTTCAGGCCTGGCAGGTTTCTCTTTATCCACAAGGTTTTCATCTGCTCCCTTGACGTGTTCTGGCAGCAACAATTAAGATGTGCTTCTGGCTTTGCTCTTGCCAGGGATTTTATTTATTTTCAATGCCCCTTCCAGTATCCAGCTCTGAACTGGAGATGCCTTGATAAGATGACCTACAAAAGGAAAAATGGCCTGGGCTCTGTTTTCTCGTTTGTGGTATTTAAAGAATCTGATTTGTTTTGCCCTTTTTCTAACCCTAAACTATCAGATGTGCCGGCTTGGTTTTGCTGCAGAGCTTGATTACCAGAGAGCCTAAATACTTTAGTGAAAACCTAATCAGTTATTTATCTACTGGGGGAATAAGGTATGGCATTTGTAATAAAAGGATTTTCTAAGCTGTTACCAAGCATTTGAATTAAATGGGTATTAATGAAAACTATTTCAAAGGTTTTCAGCAATTGGATCAGGAATCTTTCATGTTTTTTAGTGCAGAAGACTTTACAGACCACTGGAAGATGCACGTGGCTGTGAGTGGCAGAGGCTAGAGATACTGGGACACAGAAACTCTTCTGGAATAAAAATACTAAAAAAAAAAATAATTACTCTTGAATAGCTCTTTCCCTGCCTGTAGTGACTGGCTGTAGAGGCTAAGGGATAACCCCAGAGCTCAGGAAAGCAGCTGAAATTCTGCCCTTTCAGCTTCCAAACACTATTTAGGATTAAAAAAATGCTGCAGAGGGAGAAGTAATTCTTGAAATTGTCAGGAGGGATCCTATCAGCATGGATTAAAGATAGATTAAATTCTTCCCAATACTACCAGTACACTGAATAGGGTGGTGCTGCTGTCAGCACACACCTTCTCACGGGCTCTGATCTTTGCAGTTCAAAGTTTGCAAGCAAAAGGGAAAATACACTGATGGATGGAAACCAGTGCTGTACTTTTGATTCCTTTTCTCCTCTCCCCAGCAGAAATGGCACTATTTACTCCAGGTAGAAATAGGCAGGTGAAATGTGCAGCTTTTATGTAGCTCCTGCCCATTCTGTGCCCCTCTGTCCTGGCCCCGAGGCCATCAAAGCCTCCACGGCCAGGTCAGGAGTGCCCCAGCCCGGGAGCCACAAGCAGGTGGTGCCATCAGCCCACTGCGGCTCCGTGCCTTCCAACAGCACCACACTGACCCACTCCTTGCACCTGACTGTGAAACTACACAAAAGGAAACTATTTATAAAAAAAAAAGGGAAGATTTTTCCAAAGTCTGTGAGATGCGAGTGGGTTTCAAAGATAAAGTTGATTCAACAACTGGACATGGCAACTTTGTCAGCGCTCGGTTCTAAGTAGAGACAGAGCTCAGGCAAGAAGTCTTTCTCCAAATCCAAATAATACTTGGCTTTTTTAGTCCTTTCTATGTTTTTTCTTTGGTTTGCATTGCAGTATTTCCTGCATGTCTTTGCAGTGAGGCTTCTTTATTACCACTCACTGTATGTGTGACAGATCCTTGTGCACCAAGGTCTTGTCATCCTCAGGATGCACACTGGTATTCAGCCAGGAAAAAAATTACTTACAGTGGCTTTCATTTTTCAGCCCTTATTGGAAACGCAGTCTTCCTCATTCCCTCTCCATAAACCACATTTTACTTTCTTGGTGCCAGTAACATCTCACTTAAATTCTGTTTTTTATCAGAAGCTTTTCGAGGGGTTGAAGCTGCCTCTCCCTGTTCATTGATTCTGGCTGTAACGTACTGTGCAGCCTTCTAGTGAAGGCTCCTTTCCAAACTGAAATGGGAGTGGTGAAACCAAAGACAAGCTCCTTAATTACTGAGATTCAATGCTGGCATCTCAGCCCTGTCTGTCTGCTGGGGCTGGAAGAAGAAGGAGATGGTATCTAGAGAGCCAGAAATTCAGGAACTAGTAATTCTCAAGCCTAGAGCTGAGTGTAACGTGCTGATGCCTGGCTGAAACTCTTGGCAGTTCACTTGGGCGATGCTGAAATGCTCCAGCAGCTCTGCTGGGGAATAAACAGAGCCAGACAGGTACAGGCTCTATAAATGGATCCCACCTGCAGAGCCCATCGGGCCTCCTGACACATGCACATCTCACAGGCTGCTGCCATTTGCTCTATTGTACAGTCTCAGGGATAGTTAATGTTTGAAGATTAAATAGGCTTTTCAAGCAGGCTTTTTAACACCATGAGACAGTCCTTTCCAACAGCACTTCTTGCACATTTTGAATTTCTGATTTATTTTGTCTGTTTTTAATCTGATCCCTTGCTTCAGTCTCATTTGCAGAGTGCAAACTATGCTCTCATCCAGAGGGACTCCTTCCTTGGGATTACTTTGGTAAATGTTTGTACTTGGCTTCCTACCAATTTGAATTCCTAAAGGGAAAATTCTCCCCAGGAAATCTATTGATGTTCAAAGGATGGAGTCTGAAGGATCTGAAGATCCACATCTTAGCACTTTATCCTTCCAAGGATGAGAAACCAAGATTTTCTAATGGCAAGTCTCACCACACCTGCTGGGTATAAGTTCTGAGTTTTCCTTAGAAGGAACTGGCCACACAGGCTGAATCTTGTCTTTCTTATCTCATTTTTGTTTGCTTGCCTTCACACAATGACTGTGTTTTTGCAAAGAACTTGAGAATGAAAGTAATGAAAGTTACTGAGCACAGCAGTAATGGACAATGTAATTAAATGACTGATGATCAACTTACTTGTTATGTGCCTTAGTTTTGCCACTTGGAATATTCGATACTAAAATGGGTCTCATCGTACCTCTGTGATGGCAAACCCAGGCAAAACCCCATAACTTTTAGTCTTAGGCAGTTCTGTTTAACTTACCATTATGGCATTTGCAATAAGTTAGGCATCACCACATCTCTCAAGTGAAAGAAAACGAAAGGAAACAGCTGTGTGTGGCTCTCTCAGGAGTGCTGAAGGCTGGAGAAACTAGGGACAAACAGCTACCATCTGTGCCATTTTGGTAGAGTGCAGAACAGCTTTTGAGTGCTGAGAATATGGGATTTTTTTTGCCATTTGATGAGTTACTTCTGACTGTCATTAGTTTCAAGCCCACAAGGTGAGCGGGACCTTTTCACATGCTGCTCAGCTTATCTGAAGCTGTCTGTTGTGCACCTGGAATAGACAGGGGTGATTTTTTAAAGCATGGCGTGGAAACAGGGGGAGGTAAAGCTAAGAGGAAATCAATACCTGGGAAATTGCTTCAGGATCCTAACTCTGTCCTTTGTCAGTGAAGGATTGGCACTGAAATAAAAGCAACTGGCATGTGCTTCACCCAAGGACCCTAGGGAGGGTAGGTCTGCTTGGATGTGACTCTGAAATCCAGCTGTTCCAGCTACAGTAGATACCTGTGGCAGCTCATACCTGGCTGTAGATTCCACCAAGCTTGCACTGGTGTAGGCTCAGGTTTAGAGGGCAAAAAGAGAGTTACCCACTGCACACTGCTAATGTGATCTGTGGGAGATAACGAGTGTTAAATACCTCTGTTTTGGGAGCCAGTGGATGCTGACAGCACTAGCTGTGGTAGGGAGGGAGGCTGGGGAAACTGGGAAAGTTTTAGGGACAAACCAAGAGATACTCTAAAGAGAAAAAGCTGTTCATGTTCCAAAACAAGTTTCTCATCTGTTGTGCCAAATTATTGATACTACCCCTCAAATGAAGTTCCCATGAGGAATGCTGTCAAACAGCCAGAATGTTCAGCCTTTGAACATACTGATAGTCCCAGAGGAGCTCTGGGGCTGTGGGGAGCACAGAACTGCAGCCAGATCCCCCCTCCTGCACGTGCAGGGGACACCAGCTCTACATGTGTGACACTATCTCTACCTGTGTGCCACCAGCTCTGCCCTACTGAAAAAATGATCACGAGGACAGAGAGCTGCTACCTCAAATACACACTGCAACACGGAGGGATGCAGAGCTGGCTCCAGACAAGTCTGCATCCTATCACAGTCCATAGCATCTTCATCCAGGGATGTTTGGAGCCAGGGCACCCGTGGTGGGGCTCATGCTGGGGCTGAGCTGCTGGCAGCAGTGGAGATCACAGATGTTTCTGCTGCAGAAGCAGCTTCAGCAGCCAGAGGGAGAGCTCGTGGAGTCTGGTGGAGGAGCTCCACAAATGACCCTTCTGGGTCCTGGGAAGACAGGAAGGTTTTGACTGATGCTGAAACAGGAAATCCCAGGGACAGAAAAGCTGCTCTATTTGTGCTATTTCAGAACTCCTAAGCTGGGTACACCCAACAGAGCCTGGAGGGCTTTTAGAAATTTCTGCTGCCTCCTGCAATTAATCTGAAGTCATAAAGAGAGCTTGGTGTTGTGAGTCTTGCTGTATCCAGCTGTGCATGACATGAACCCAACCCAGGCGGCACAAGGAAACCCCTGGGATGATGGAGCTTTATTCAGCCTTCTCTGAAAGCAGCTTGCTTGAGATATGAACATGGATCACAGCCCTCCTAATCCAAGCTGGGCAGGAGGCAGCTATAAACAAGTCAGTTATAGACTG